GTGACCCCACTCGTGGTGTGGCCCTGCCAGAGCCCCCTCCCCTCCAAACTGCTTCTGGGGCCCCCCCGTGCCCCTGGTGCTGCTGCCTGGGGGGGCCCCATCGCCGGGGGGGGGCCCAGGCAGTGGGGGTGGGTGGTCCTGGCGCATTCTCTCACCATTAAAGAGACGTGGAAGTACCGGAGCCCTGGTGTGATGAGGGTGCTGGGCTGGGTTGGGCCCCCCAACTTCTCAGGGAGGGCACAAAGACACCCGCCGCGGCTTGGGGACATGGGGCTGAGCTGGGGCAAAGACCCCCAGCAGCACAGGGGACACAGCAACACCCTGACCCGGACAGGAACAGGCCATGGTCATGGAGGTTTATTGCAGGGGAGATGAGGGGGCTCCAGCACAGCCCCCCAGCACCTCCCCTGGCCCTGAGCTCACGGTGGGGGCACAGGAACCCCCCGCTAATAGTCCTCAGCCATGGCGAGCACCACGAGCGCGGACCAGCCCGCGAAGGGGTGGCAGCCCTGCCCCGCCCCGTCGCTGTCCCGGTAGTGCTCCCACAGGAACCCGGTGGCCTCGTGCTGCCGGAACACGTTGGTGACCAGGTTGTGGCGCAGCTCCCGGTACAGCCGCGCCGCCTGCTCACGGTGCGGCCCCGCTGCCTGCGCGTACCCGCGGAGCGCCCGCAGCGCCAGGAAGTTCACGTTGACCCAGATGGAGCCGCGCCAGTACGGGGGGTCGTGCTCGGTGTTGCGCTGCAGGTACCAGGGGCTGTCGCGGGCCAGCGAGCGCAGCCCGAAGGGCGTCCAGAGCTTCGCCTCGCTGCGCATGGCGCCCAGCAGCGCGGGCAGGCGCGGGGAGTCCGCGCGCAGCAGCTGCAGCAGCAGCGGGAACAGGCTCACGTAGCCCAGCGCGCCCACGAAGCGCGGCCGCGGCGCCTCCCGCACCTCCCGGCGCAGCCGCGGGGCCGGCGGGGCCTGGCCGGGCGCGGGGGCCGGGCGGTGCCAGCGCAGCGCCACGGCCGTGCTGTGGTTGCCGAAGTCGGCGAAGGCGCCGAGCTCGGGCGCCCAGTGGTGCCGCTCCAGCAGGGCGTTGTCGCTCAGCGCCAGGGCCATGTCGCTGTAGGGCTCGGGGGGCTCCCCCAGGCGCTCGGCCAGCGCCGCCAGCACGCGGGCGCCCAGCGCCATCCAGCAGCGCAGGTCCAGGTGCCGCTCCTGCTCCGACGGGTGCGAGGCGCGCGGGTAATCGTCCAGCCCCGACGCCAGCGTCTTGGGGTTCAGGAAGCGCTCGGCGTCGGTGTCGCGGCCGCGCCAGCGGAAGGTGAGGGGCTCGGGGCCGGCCTGGGTGCGGTTGAGCCACGAGAACCAGGCGCGCAGGCGCGGGGAGAGGCGGCGCAGGTAGGGCAGGGGCGCGTCGGGCAGCAGCCGCTCCAGCGCCAGCAGCAGCGTGGGGGGGTTCGCCGTCTCGCTGTGCTGCAGCACAAACTCGGGGGGCACCCTGGCCCGCGCCTCGTCCCCCAGGATCTGCTCCCGCGGGATCCAGCCGTCGGCGTTCATGAGGTCGAGCCAGTGCGCCAGCACGTCGCGGGCCAGCTCAGGCGCCCAGCGGCCCAGCAGCAGCAGGTGGAAGCCCTCGTCCCACAGGAAGCCCCGCGGGAAGCAGGAGCGGGAGGGCGCAGCCGCGAGCAGCGCGGCCTCGGGGCCGGGCAGCGGCTCTGAACTGTGCTCCGAGCGCAGCAGGGAGCGGCCGTGGAAGAAGCCGAGCCCCCCCAGCAGCTCGCTGAGCGCGGCCTGGGCGAAGCGGCGCTGGGGGGGGGGTCGCCCCGCGCGCCCCCAGCCCGAAGGTGTCCTCGAAGCGGCGCTCGAAGGCGGCCGCGTGCCGGGCCAGCGCCGCGCCCAGCGCCCGCCCCGCCAGCCGCCCCCGCCGCGCCCCCGCCGCGCTGCCCGACTCCAGCACCACCTCCAGCACCGCCGGCGCCTCCAGCGTCACCTGGTGCAGCAGCAGCTGCCCCTGCGGGGGCTCCCCGGGCAGGCCCCCCGTCCTGGACACCCCCAGGTAGTGGCGCCGCGGCCGCCCCGGCGGAGAGAACAGCGAGGCTTCCCGGAGGCTGCGCTGGACCAGCTCCGTGAGGCGGTGCAGCCCCGGCACCCCCGCGGCCAGGAAGTTGTAGCTGAGGGACACGGGGGGGTCAGGGATGGGGGGCAGATGGGGTGACTGGGGGGAGGTGGGAGAGTCAGGTGGGGGGAGACATGAGGGAGATGAGGAGTCAGGGAGAGAGGAACAGGGGAGACAAGGGGACACAAGGGACATGGAGTCAGGGGAAAGGTGGAAGAGATGGAGGAACGCAGGGAAGAGAGATGAAGGGGACACAGATGGGATGCAGAAGGGCACACGGGATACTAGGGAAAGGGGGACATGGGGGAAATGGGGGAAGAGAAAAGGGGCGGACACGGGCAGAGAGAAGGAGACATGGAGTCATGGAATGGGGGGGAAACAGAGGAGACAAAAGGTGGGCAGAGATGAAGGGGCCGTGAAGGGGTTGGGGTCGTGCCCCTGTGACTCACCTGGCGTATTTAGGCTCCTCCTCACCCTCCCCCGTTGGGGGCAGGAAGGTGAGGGTGAAGTTCCCGAGCTCCTCCGATGTTCCCTCCACGGCCGCCAGGCGGGTCCCGTTGTGCAGCACCGGCCGCAGCTCCCCCTGCCCGTCCGTGGCCACGTAAAAGAACAGGGACAGGAGCGGGGCCGGGCCTTTGCCCTGCGGGTAGGAGCAGGAGGAGGGTGACGGAGGGTCCCCGGCATCCCAACGCCTCTCCCGCCCTCCCTGCGCTCACCTCCGTCCTCGCCGTGACCCTCCAGCTCCAGTCCCCGCCGTGGTCTCCCCCCGGCTGCTTGACGAACTCCGTCCTGAGCAGCAGCCGCCCGTCGCGGATCTCCTGCACGCCGAAGTTCTCCCCGTCGTGCATCACCCACCCGTACCGGGCCGGCCCGTCGCCGCTCTCGCACGTGTGCCGCAGGCCGCCGCCGTGCTGCAGCCACATCAGCCCTGGGGAGCGCGGGGGGTCAGGGGAGGCTCCCGGGGCGGCAGCGGGGCCGGCGGAGCCCCGGGGCGGAGCCCCCGCCCGCGCCCCCCTCACCGGTCACGACAGAGCGCGGGCTCCGCGTCTTCATCCCGAAGTACACGTGCGGCCGGTACGTGCCCCAGAAGTAGGCGGGCGCGGCGAGGGGCCCGGTGGAGCCGGGGAGGACGGCGGGGGGCGCGGGATGGGGGGTGACGAGGCGCGAGGCTTCGCTCCACCGGCTCCACTCGGTCGCCGCCGCCACGAGACCGAGCGCCAGCGCTGCCGCCGCCGCCGAGGCCACCAGCACCGTCCGGCCCCGGCCCGGGCCCCGCGGCTGCTGCTGCTGCTTCTGCTGCTGGCGGTGTTTCGGGTCCCGCGGCCGCTCCCGGGGCCCGTCCCCCCCACGCCGCCGCCGCTCCCCCGCCATGGCCGCGCGCGCGCCCGGAGCGTCAGCGCCGCGCGACGGGCTGCGGGGAGCGCCGCGCGCGCCCCCTGGCGGGCGGGAGGACCCCGCGCGGTTCGGTCCTCCCAGGGACCCCCGCCCGACCCAAAACCGGCCCCGAGGGGACGAGGACCCCCACACCATGGCCCCAACCCCGCCTTCCACCCAGTCCATGCTCATCACGCCCTTAGAAGCCACTTCGTTATCCCCCTTGGTCAACCCCATTGCTGGGAGGGGGTCCCGGCTACACTGACCCCCCCATCTGCCACCCCAACAGTGCCCTCAAAGGGACCCCCGCCAGGAATCCCCCAGCCTTTCCCAGGACCCCCACGGATGCCCGACCTCCCTGGGGACCTCCCAAGGACCCCCACTATGAACCCCCAGTATCCCCTGGGACCACCAAGGGACCCCTGGTCTCCTTGAGGACCCTCATGGACCCCCATCCTGCATCCCTGCCATCCCCTGGAAGCCCCCAGGGTACTCCCAGCCTCTCCAGGGCCTCCAAGAAACCCCCAGCTGCCCCATTGTCCCCCCGGACCCCCCAGGGACATCCACCCTGCACCCCCGTCTCCCCAGGACCCCCCAGATCCCCTCAGGAGTCCCCGTTAGATCCCGCCCCACCAGTAAGTGGTCCCAGTTGCAATCTCAGACCCCCATCCCCCGTGCCCCCCTTGCAGAGGTGGCCGGGACGGGTGGGGTGGGTTTATTGCAGGTCAGCCCTCGGGGCTGTTGCCCACGCAGGGCAGCCCCGGCACTCTCCAGCGGCGGGCGCGGTGCAGCCGCAGGGACAGCCACTGCTGGGGGCTGCCCGGGAGCGGCGGCTCGGCAGCGGCGCCGCGGGCACTGCCCGGCACATCGCCCGGCACATCGCCCGGCACATCGCCACCCGCGCCCGGCGGGGGCGGCCCCGGCAGCGGGACCGCCACCTCCAGCGGGTCCAGAACGGGCAGGGGGTCCGGGGGTGGATCCAGGGGGTGGGTGCCTTCATCCGAGCCTGGGGAGGGATGGAGGGACTGGGATATCGGATCCTGCTCCTGCTGGGACTCCCTGTCCCCGTCCTAGTTCTCATTCCCTGATGTTCCCATCTTCATCTCCACCCCCATCCTTGTCCCAGTCCCCGTCCTCGTCCTTTCTCCATCTCCATCCCACCTCTCAGCCCCACCCCCGTCCCATCCCTATTTCATCCCCACCTCATCCCACCCCCCCATCCCCATATCCCCATTCCACCCCATCCCACCCCACCCCATCCCCATACCTCCATTCCATGTCATGCCATCACACCCCATCCCATCCCGTCCCGTCCCGTCCCATCCCTTCCCATCCCATCCCATCCCATCCCATCCCATCCTCATCTCCTCCCCATTCCCATCCCATCCCATCCCCCTCCCTCCATTACATGTCATGCCATCACACCCCACTCCACCCCACTCCATCCCATCCCATCCCATCCCATCCCATCCCATCCCATCCCATCCCATCCCATCTCCTCCCCATTCCCATCCCCACTCCCACCCCATCCCATCCCATCCCCATATTCCACCCCATCCCCATCTCCTCCCCATTCCCATCCCATCCCATCCCATCCCATCCCATCCCATCCCATCTCCTCCCCATTTCCATCCCCATCCCACCCCATCCCACCCCATCCCCATATTCCACCCCATCCCCATATTCCACCCCCTCCTCCCATTCCAGCCCCCAGCCCATCCCGTCCCGTTCCCGTCCCGTTCCCGCCCCATCCCGGCTCTCACAGCAGCGCCGCAGCCCGGCCCAGCCGCGGGTGTGGCCGCCGCGCCCCCCGGGCTGCTGCAGGAGGCAGCGCACGGCCGTGTCCGTGTGGCGGAACACGCGCAGCGCCCGCAGCGCCTGCCGGGCCTCGGGGGCCAGCCCGGAGCGCTCCGAGCACAGCAGCTCCCGCACCGCCTCGAAGTCCCGCCGCAGCTGCATGGCCCCCTGCAGGCTGGGACGGGGACAGGGTGGGCCTGGGACCCTCGGGACCTCCCCAGGACCCCCCCCCCACTGCATCCCGGGACACCCACTGGGATCCCGGAACTGCCACCAGATCCCCAGAACTGCCCACCAGGACCCCCGAGACTTCCACTGGGACTCCTTGAACTGCTACCAGGACACCCAACCTGCCACTGCGACCCCTGCCCTGTCGTGGGACCCCCAGCACTGCCACTGAGACCCCTATTACTGCACTGGGACTCCTCAAACTTCCACCAGGACCCCTGGGACCCTCACCAGGCCCCCCGGCCCCACCTCTCGGACCCCCAGCACCGTCACTGGGACCCCTGCTCTGCCCCCAGGACTACAAAGGGCACTGCCCCTTGGCTGTGGCACCGGGTGTGGAGCCCTGTCCACAGTACCTGAACTTGATCCTGTGGGTGAGGATGTGGTCCATCCAGGCCTCCAGGAAGGCCGTGGTGACCCGTGCCAGGGTGGGTGCCTGGGCATCGCGGGGCAGGGCCTGTGCCCCCTGCAGCACCTGCCCCAGCACCGCCTGCACCGCGGCCGCCGCGTACGCGCTGGGGGTGCTGGGCAGCTCTGGGGGGGCACGGGGACCCTGCTCAGCGCTGTGACCCCCCACGGCCCCCCGAGCACCCCAACATGCCCCCAGCCCCCCGCACCCACCGGCGCGTGGCCCGAGCCGCCAGTGCCGGCCCAGTGGCATCGTCTGGTCAAAGATCTCGGCCGAGAGCCGCTTGCAGCTGGTGGAGAACATCTGGAGCACGTCCCCGGAGAAGAGCTGGGGCATGGTGGGGGACATGGGGTGACACAGGCACCCAGGGCACCCCTCTGCCCAGGATCCCCCACTCGGGTCCTGCCATACCTGGATGTTGTCGGCCACTCCGTGGATCTGCCGGCACAGCTGGAGCTCCCAGGGGGACAGGGGGAGTGGCTTTGGGGGGGTGTCCCCATCAGTGTCCCCCGGCTCTGGGAATGTCCCACTCACCTGCAGCGCCAGCTGCTCTGTCTCTGCCTTCAGCACCTGGAGGGGAGCAGGAGGGGTGAATCCAAGCCCCAGCTCCCCCATGCCCCCGAGGCCCCCATAGCTGCAGGTCTCCCTGGGTGAGCAGCAGGAGCTGGGGCAGTGACCAGCCCGCCCTGTGCCCCCCAGGCCCCCGTGCCCCCCGTACCTGCAGGTCCCCCTGGGTGAGCAGCAGGAACTGGGGCAGTGCCCAGGCCGCCAGGTACCGCCCGGCCCTGCCCGTCAGCCACGCGTGAGCCGCCGCCGCCGCCGCCAGACACCGGCTCAGCACCTGCAGCCGCAGGCAGGGACCCCCAGGGGATGCTGGGGGCAGGGGTCAGCACAGAGGGGACCCCCGTGCCCCCCCACGCACCCCGGACCCTGCTCACCGTGTGGGTGGGTGGGCAGCGGGCACAGGCAGCGCAGGGCCAGCGCCAGGGCTGGGAAGAGGCGCCGGAGCTGCTGCGCCGTGCGGCTGCACCCCGGCCCCGGGGGCCCCCCCGGGACCTCCAAGCACTTGTCCGACAGCCCCGAGCCCAGGGCACAGGTGAAATCTGGGGAGGAAACAGTCAGAAGCCCCCAACACTGCACACATCCCACACTGTACCCCACACCTGCACCCTGGAGCGCAAACCCCGCACCCCACACCCTCACTGCATACCCCCCAGATCACCCCCCACTCCCTCATCCCATGCCCACAGTGTGCCCCACACCTGCACCTCAGACCTCCCTAACGCCGCTCCCTAACCCTGTACCCCCGTCCCCCACCCCATACTTCCCCCAGCCCCCCGTACCCATGTCCCAGCTGCAGAGGATGCTCCGGCACATCAGGCGCAGGCAGAGCACCCCCAGCTCCTCCTGGCACTCGGGGGGCACACGGGCTGTGGGGGCACACGGAGGCTCAGGGCAGGGCAGGGATCCCCCGTGGCAGCCCCTGCCCCCCGTGTCCCCACGTACCCGCGGCGAGGGCGCGGCTCAGCTCCTGCGCCGTGGCGACGGTGGCACTCGGGGTGGCGGGGGGGGCTGCCCAGGCCGTGCCCCAGCGCGGCGCCCGCGGCCCCCCAGAGCAGTGGGCGGTACCGGGCGCTCAGCGCGGCGGCCGCGGGGCCGCGGGCAGTGTCCAGCCACCGCACCGACTTCCAGCCCCCCGCGCTGCCCGGGCGCGGCCCCATGGGCTCGGGGCTCTCGGACAGCACCGGCTGCCACAGGCTGTCGGCCGAGGCCACCAGCGCCCCCAAAACGTGTCCCGTCAGCTCCTCGTCCTCCAGGCACAGCTCCTGCAGCTCAGCCGCCAGCCCCGGTAGCGCCTCTGCTCCGGAACCTTCCGCGGCCGTCCCCGTGTCCGTCCCCGCAGCATCGTGCCCTAGCGGCCACGGCACCGCCACGTCCTCCCAGCACACGTGTCCGTCCCTGATGTCCCCACCCCGGGGCTGCAGGAGGGGCTGCAGCCGCTCGGCCACGGCCCGGCCGCGCTCGGCCGCCAGCACCCGCAGCACCCCGTCCACCGTGAAGGGAGCGGGGAGACCCCCGGGACCCGCCTCGGGGCCCAGCTCCTCCGCCAGCCCCTGCACCACGCGGTTGTAGATCTCCAGCCCCTGGAAGAGCTCGGCCAGGCTCTCGGGGGCCGGGGCGGGGGTCCCGGGGCGGCCGAGCGCCCGCAGGCAGCCCTCAGCGTGCCGCCAGGCCAGGCGCGCGGCCATGAGTGCCGGC